AAAGTAATGAAAAAAATGTACATTGTATAAAGTAATGAAAAAAATGTACATTGTATAAAGTAATGAAAAAAATGTACATTGTATAAAGTAATGAAAAAAATGTACATTGTATAAAGTAATGAAAAAAATGTACATTGTATAAAGTAATGAAAAAAATGTACATTGTATAAAGTAATATAAAAAATGCATTGTATAAAGTAATGAAAAAAATGTACATTGTATAAAGTAATGAAAAAAATGTACATTGTATAAAGTAATGAAAAAAATGTACATTGTATAAAGTAATGAAAAAAATGTACATTGTATAAAGTAATGAAAAAAATGTACATTGTATAAAGTAATGAAAAAAATGTACATTGTATAAAGTAATGAAAAAAATGTACATTGTATAAAGTAATGAAAAAAATGTACATTGTATAAAGTAATGAAAAAAATGTACATTGTATAAAGTAATGAAAAAAATGTACATTGTATAAAGTAATGAAAAAAATGTACATTGTATAAAGTAATGAAAAAAATGTACATTGTATAAAGTAATGAAAAAAATGTACATTGTATAAAGTAATGAAAAAAATGTACATTGTATAAAGTAATGAAAAAAATGTACATTGTATAAAGTAATGAAAAAAATGTACATTGTATAAAGTAATATAAAAAATGCATTGTATAAAGTAATGAAAAAAATGTACATTGTATAAAGTAATATAAAAAATGCATTGTATAAAGTAATATAAAAAATGCATTGTATAAAGTAATATAAAAAATGCATTGTATAAAGTAATATAAAAAATGCATTGTATAAAGTAATGAAAAAAATGTACATTGTATAAAGTAATATAAAAAATGCATTGTATAAAGTAATGAAAAAAATGTACATTGTATAAAGTAATGAAAAAAATGTACATTGTATAAAGTAATGAAAAAAATGTACATTGTATAAAGTAATATAAAAAATGCATTGTATAAAGTAATATAAAAAATGCATTGTATAAAGTAATGAAAAAAATGTACATTGTATAAAGTAATGAAAAAAATGTACATTGTATAAAGTAATATAAAAAATGCATTGTATAAAGTAATATAAAAAATGCATTGTATAAAGTAATATAAAAAATGCATTGTATAAAGTAATATAAAAAATGCATTGTATAAAGTAATGAAAAAAATGTACATTGTATAAAGTAATGAAAAAAATGTACATTGTATAAAGTAATGAAAAAAATGTATGTTGTATAAAGTAATATAAAAAAATGTACATTGTATAAAGTAATGAAAAAAATGTACATTGTATAAAGTAATATAAAAAATGCATTGTATAAAGTAATATAAAAAATGCATTGTATAAAGTAATATAAAAAATGCATTGTATAAAGTAATAAAAAAAAATGTACATTGTATAAAGTAATAAAAAAAATATATACACTGTAAAAAGTAATATAAAAAATGCATTGTATAAAGTAATGAAAAAAATGTACATTGTATAAAGTAATGAAAAAAATGTATGTTGTATAAAGTAATAAAAAAAAATGTACATTGTATAAAGTAATGAAAAAAATGTACATTGTATAAAGTAATATAAAAAAATGCATTGTATAAAGTAATGAAAAAATATACATTGTATAAAGTAATGAAAAAAATGTACATTGTATAAAGTAATATAAAAAATGCATTGTATAAAGTAATGAAAAAATATACATTGTATGAAGTAATAAAAAAAATATATACACTGTAAAAAGTAATATAAAAAAAATGCATTGTATAGGTGGTGCGAACAAGGAAACAAAGAGACAAATAAAGTGTGAATATGGTCACTGTAGAAATCATGGGATTTGATGAAGACTGAATTGCACAATTTCATTTTTTTTCAATAAATTCGGTGTATTTTGTTGCAACACTCTACAGGTAGTGCTATATTTGATTTGGGCAATTGATGGGGTTTTGCAATATATTCTATTATCTAAAGTTTTTTTGGTTCAGCTTTTAATGTTTTGGAAATGGGAATACCAATAATTTGACTGTACATTTGATTAAATCTGATCTGTTGCAGAAACTATTAAAAGTCAAAGATGAAAGTGATTACGTTTTTTTTCAATTATTGCAATTGCATTTACAAAAATGTGAAAATTCAAGCAAGATGAACACCACTGCCAACAATAGATACGTAAAAGAACTAGAAAAAAAGGAAAAAAAGAAAATCAGAATTAAACCCCAGTTCCTTTCATGACCAATTCCAACAACAATTCATAAATAACAAACAAACAAAAAAAAAGACCCAAAATAAAAGAAACTCTAAAAAAAAAAAAAAAAAAAAAAAAATCCCTTTAAACCTTATCCCTAAGCTAACTCTCAGCATCAAATTTATCTCTCCTCTTACCTCTTAGCTTCCTTGTCTCTCACCTTCCTCGTCTCTTACCTTCCTCGTCTCTTACCTTCCTCGTCTCTTCCCTTCCTCGTCTCTTACCTTCCTCGTCTCTTACCTTCCTCGTCTCTTACCTTCCTC